AGTTGTACCGCCCCAGTCAAACTCCCGGCCTGGCAGTGTCCTCGAATCGGATCACGCCGGAGTATTATCGGCGATCGGCGCAAGGCCTCACACCACTCTTGTACGCTTGGTTCTAGAATTCCGTGACAACCGGGTCGAAACCACGGTGCACGCGCTCCGCCTAACCGAGTAAGTAAAGAAACTATGAAAGTAGTGGTATTTCACCGGCGATATAAAATCTCCCACTTATGCTACACCTCTCATGTCTCCTTACAATGCCAGACTAGAGTCAAGCTCAACAGGGTCTTCTTTCCCCGCTAATTTTTCCAAGCCCGTTCCCTTGGCAGTGGTTTCGCTAGAAAGTAGATAGGGACATTTTTTTTTTTTTTTTTTTTTTATTTTATTCTCTATCATGTTGCAGTGTAGGAGCTCTCGCTCATTACTGCGTTGTACATATCATTTAAGTGTTTCACTCTAATCCTTTAATGAATCTTGACCATAATAATCCAAAATGTATTTTTCTTGATTTAATTTTCTTTCTTTTCTTTTTCTTTAGGTTCTGATAAATTCGGGTCGCTTAGCCGCCAGGAGTGCCCTGACGTTTCCGTCCCTAGCCACGAGGAGGCGGACCCACTTCTACTTTCAATTTTCAATTCTCAATCATCTGTAAGTTGTTGCATGAGATTTCTTCTATTTTCAAAAACGTTCATCGCAAAAGTTCTCAACTTCTTTAATTCTTCTTCATTCTGTATAATTTTTGGCCAGTTTTCCTTAGCTTCTGTTAATAGTGGATATCTGTATGATTCATACTGTGGACACTGAAAGATAATATGTTCAACTGTCTCCTGTTGCGATTCACACGCAGGGCAGGTTGGAGATTCTGCTATTCCTCGTTTATAAAGACTGTAATTAATTGATCCATATCCAGTTAAAAGATATACAACTAGTCTAGATGGATTAAACCAAGAATTTAATGACCAAAATTGCACATTCGGTATGAATTTGTATGTGATTCTTCCGTGTACATCGCTGTTCCATCTTGCTTGCCATTCAGAATATATTTCTCGATCAATCTTAGTTATTTCTTGCTCGATGTTACTTCCGCCGTTGTTTCCAAGTGGATTATACCTATAACTGCGCCAGACTACAAATTTTTCCTTCTTAATTTTTCTAATTATTCCAAATCTTACTATCTCCAAATCCAGAGGTAAAAATCCCCCAATGACTTGTACCGCCGCTGTTGATGTAGTTCGACATGCTTTTATTATTGTAAGTAGTATAGCACGCTGCGCCGCCATTAGATGTCTATTGACTACTGCCTTTCCTGCCTTTTCATACCAAATGATGGATCCATATGTAATTATAGGGAGGCAAACTGTCTTGTATAGTATACGTAGAATTGATTTTCTAATGCCCCATTCTTCATGGGCAAAACGTCGCAGTGTCATGATGTATTTGACTAATTTGTCACGCATGTTCCCAACATGTGTGTTAAATGATAACTTATTATCAATATATATTCCTAGGTATTTATATGTTCCAGTATATTTGATTCTTACGTCATTTATTTTTATTATAGGTAACTTCTCTTTATCGAGTTTACCTTTTACGATCATAGCTTGAGTCTTCTTGCCTGATACTTTCAATTTGTTCATCTCGCACCAGGTTTGTATAATTTCTGCTATTTTCGCAGCTTTTAATTCTATTTCTCTTCTTGAGTTTCCTTTTATTAGAAAACTTATGTCGTCCGCATACGCAATAATTAGGACGTCTTCCTCGGTGAAAGCTTCTTCTATTTTAGATAATAAATCGTCCATACACCATGTCCATGCTTGTGGTCCAATGATAGAGCCTTGTGGACACCCTTTTTGAATATTGTACGTTACTTTCTCAAATTTGTTGCTTACTTCAATTTTCCGTCCTTTAAAATACCGGTCAATGATTTTTGTTAACACTGTGCTACAGTTTGCCTGGACCAAGCGAGCCTTGACAGCCGGATGCCATAGGTTGTCGAAAGCACCTTCAATGTCAATAAAAAGTGCAACAACGTATTTTTTCTCAGTTTGGGTTATACCCTCCTTGAAGGCCAACAAAGCATCCTCCGTTGAAAAACCTTTTTTAAATCCGAATTGGCGATTACTGGCTAAGCCCATATCCTTATATTGCGCCTGAATTCTATCCACAATGATTCTTTCAAAAACTTTGCTAATTACAGGAAGTAATGCTATAGGCCTGTATGAGTTCACAGACATTTTGTCCGCCTGATCATTTTTCGGTATTACAATTAACTTCGCAGTTTTCCACTCATCTGGAAAATTGCACTCTCTAAGACATTTATTATACAATATATACAGCACTTCTCTACTATTATCCCAAAGAGCTTTTATAATTTCCGGCCCGAAGCCATCCGATCCAGGAGCCTTTTTATCTTTTAGTTTTCTCAAAGCTCCGACTATTTCCATGTGGCTGATGTCTGGTTCTACGTTACAATTCTGGTATTGTTTATTCATCTGTCTTATTTGCTTATGTACAAGTGATTCGTTTGTAGCATTATCTTCGGGCGCAAATTTCTTTAGCAGCGTTTCGACTGACTCCTTCCATGTTTTGGTCACCTCTCCAGAAGGTAGCATCATCATACCAATATTACACCTCATTTGAGTTTTATCTCGAGCAATCTTATGTAATAGGCCCCAGGGATTTTCATTCCCTTCTGTTTTAACGAAGTTTTTCCACGAGTTGCTCTTCTGATTTCTAATCTCTTTAACATATTTGTTTCTAGCTTCCTTGTATTCATCTGAGAGTCGTTGCAGGCTATCTGAGAGGCCCAATCTACGAGCTCTAGAGAGCTGCCTACCTTTATTTCGAGCGCACTTTCTAAGTTTATTTAGTTCCTCGGTCCACCAGGGAACCGCTTTATTACTGTTCTTCCTGATCGGTATTGACTCCTTACAAACCTCCGTTAATATCTTATTTAAGTTTTTTATAAGTTCCTTTATGCTCCATTTATAGGCACTGTTAATATAATCACTATTTAACTTTTGGCTTATTAGTTGCGAAAATTTGTCCCAATTTGCTGCCTTCATGTTAAAGGCTGCACTTGCAATATGCAATCGCTCCACTCTATCTTGGAATTTCATCTTAAAGGTAATCAAATTATGATCACTTATTGACATCTCTTGTACCTCCCAAGCGGTGACTAGATTTGCCATAGCTTCACTAACCAGTGTAACGTCAATGTTGGATGCATGTCTTGAATTCGAGAAAGTTGTGAGGCTACTAGGTCTGTTTAGAATCTTAAAGTTATTACTTAATATGAATTCTTCCAGAATTCTTCCTCTTTCGTTTGTTTCATTCGAATACCAGGCCAAGGACCTGGCGTTGGCATCCATGCAGATTATCACCCTGGTCGGATCCACCGTTGACAAAACTTTGTCCAGTTCAGATATAAATCCTTCCATCGGCAGTGAGAATTGACAATACAAATTAATTACATAAAATTGATGATACTTTGTTTGAACATGAAAACACATAATGTGTTCCGTATCATATTTCGAAATTTGGAATACCTCTATGTTCTCTGTACATACCGCTGCTCCTACCCAAGGGTAAGTAGCTTTGGGTGTTAAAACGTCAAGAGACGCAGATTTAAATCCTTTAACATGGTTCTTATACGCATATGGCTCTTGCATACAGAGAATATCAAGTTTCCCCGCACTTATGATTTGCCTCAAATCAGCAGTCGCTGCCATAGATCTCTGTAAGTTGATTTGACCGATCTTTAGGTCCAGTTTATTCTATTTCTATATAGATCAATTTGCCGCTGCAGCTCAGGGCAAAGTTTGTTTGTAACACTATGGTTTGTGTCCTTTCTTTTCGTGCGGATACAATTTATACACTGCGGCTTATCCTTTCTAGGACAATCCTTCCTTTCGTGTTCGGTATTGCCACAATTTTCACAGCATTGCTGTTTTGCCTGACAAAATTTTGCTATATGCCCATATCCTTGACATTTATAGCAACGCATAACGTTTAGATATTCCTTTAGCTTATATATCCTCCAGAACATATACACTTTCCTTGACAACATCAGTGCGCTATACTCCTTAGCTGGTAGTTGGACTATCCAATTTACTCTACTCTCATTTTTAGTTTTAAAACAATGACGAAAGTCTATACTCCTTTTCAATTTTTCAGCATACTCGTCGTCTCTAACTTCCAGATTCTTGAAAATCAGATCTTCTTTCAACTCGTCTGCTTTATACTCCTTTTCAACGTCATATATAATTATACTGGGATTAATTTTCTTAGGCTCTGCAGTTTTTAAACCAACTTCCTTAAATTTCGAATTTTTTATAATTTCAATATCACGTTTGTCTTTAACCTCAACCACAACGCCTTTATTTCTCAATTGCCTTACTTGTTTAATTCTTATTTGAGATCTGTTTTTCTTTAGAACTTCTGTTACTTTAGCTTTAATTTCATCATTAGATCTAGGGTCATTTTCATTTTCAGGTTTAATTATCAATACTTCATGCTTCTCTTTTACTGTTTCAGGTTTCAGATGTGCGCCAGCAGGAGCTACTCCGCCAGCTACCACCTGAGCGTAAGTATTTACTGGCTTGGTACAATGTAATTCCCGTGTGGCTGATAACCTTTCAACTTTCATTATTTCTGCTAGGAGCGCTGCTTCCAAGGACGCCCATTTATCCAAAATGATTTTAACTGCAGCCTTGGTCACCTTATTTGCTTCATTGAACAGAAAAGCCTCCAGTTCCTTCCTCTCGGCCCTTACATTTTCCAGTGACAACCTTTCGGGCTCAACAGTAAGATCAGAATCCTGCTCTTTATCTTCTACCACTTTTCTTCTTTTAACACTTCCACCGGTCTCTTTAATGTCGGAATCCGCAGATCTCACAGAGGAGACAGAGCTAGTTCTACTCAATGATACACACAAAATTCCTTTTTTCCTACTTCTACACTCCTCCTCCACGTCCATCATAGAAAGTTTAGTTTGTTTAGGGTTTATTTGATCACAACTCATAACTGGTCCCACGAGTACGGTGGAAAGGATGTCGACCCGAGCAGAGCCACCATTACCCGAGCAAGGCATAATACTACCGGAGGTCGCCAGGTATCCGGAGTGTGGCAGCTCATGGCTGATGCGCCCACCAGCCACGCACCAGTGCAAGACTGATACGCACCCTCTTCGTCGCGCCATAACTTGGGGTTAGGGATTTTTTATAGAGGTTGTCATCCTCGCGGTCCAGCCGGTTAAGGCGAGACCCCCGTTCCTGTGAAACATGACCACAGGCTTACGGTATACTACGAGCTCGGGCACCCCGGGGTCGCTAAAACCCGTACTGCGGCCGGTTTCAAGCAAACCGCAGCCCCTGGGGGGAGTAGATAGGGACAGAAGGGA